ATGTACTTACTCCCTTGAATTCATCCCCCAAAATTCAGCCAACATGCTGGATGCCTTCCTCAATTTCTCCAGATGTTGCAATTTATTTTATAGTACTAGACTTTCATAAATGGGGCACAATATAGAAGAAAAACTATACCTACCCATGCCAATAAAACTTTTTCTCCTAAAAATAATGGCCAGAGAAGCTGGTTTATCAAAGAGATAAGATTTTACTTATGTTGAAAGCATGCTTTATTTCACGGTTCTGGCCAGGACCTTTCTAATGTATGAATGTAAGAAATGCAAATACTACGTGATTATATATTAATGCATTTCACTACTGAAAATTTTAACAATAACAAAAATAACAATTCTTCTAGTAATTCTACTGTTTCTTTGTAATGATATGTGTAAAAGTAACCTGGAATAAACCAGTTATAGTATTAATTAACTCATTCATACCAATCAACCAAGAATTTATTGGATACCCATAGAGTATGAAAAACTTTCTTAAAACATGCTAAATTAAAAAGAAATGGAAACATTTTTTAAAAATGTAAATATTCTCAGTATAGATATACTAGATTATAAGGAAACCCAATAAACCATGTTTCTTTAAGTATTGATTTATAAGTTACCATTTAACAAAGAGACTCCAGACCAGAGAAACACAACAATTTAATGGAATTTTATAACTGACAGAAACCTGGGAGATCATCTAGAAAGTCCTTCATTTTGCAGATGAAGAAACTGAGGCCCAAAGAAGGGAAGTGATTTTTCCAGAGGTCACATACTTAGCTATTTAAAGCAAAAGTGTTGGGAGGTCTAGCTAACTAATGTGCAGCTGGAAATAAAAATAAAGAATTCCTGAAATTAAAATAAAATTAATAAAAAATTAAGATTTAGTTTCCCTTTTATTTAAATTTCTCCCTTACTCATAATAACAAGATTTCTTCTGTCAGTCTAATTTTTAACATGAGTTTGACTTTGAAAAATTTCCCAAGAATACTTCAAATAGTATCATACAAATCTGATGTCAATTTTTTCCAATGAGTTTTGCTGCATCAAGGCAATATGTGTACTTATATACACTCATTTCAAAGCCAGACACTTTCAAGTTCTCATTAAAAGAGCTAACCTTTACACAGTGCTTTAAGGTTTGCAAAATGCTTTACATCCCATTTGCTTTTCATAACAACCCTATGAGATATTTATGACCATTTTACAAACAAGGAAAGAGGTGCAAATCATTTAAGTGACTTGTTCATGGTCACACGGCTAATGTAAGCAGTAGAATATAATTCTTTGTATTTGTATCCCCTGGCCTAGCATGATGCCTGGTACATCATAGATGTTTAATAAATGTTGTTGGACTGATTTGAACCCAGGTTCTCCTGACTATACTTACAGAACTCTTCTCTTCATAGAAAAAAAGCAAGAAAACTTAAATGATCCTTGTTTAAGTGTGAATACTGAAAAAGTTTTAACTGAATCCACAAAAAACATCTACTTTTACAGATATTTTATCATGCACTATATATTGAATAAATGTACCTTCTAAAACAATAAAATTAAACTTGACATTCCATTTTGTCTCTGCCAACTAACTGCCAAGTTTTACAAGTTTATCTCACAAATATCTTGGAAACAAATGCCATAGAATGTTCTAACAATACTACATATCAAACATAAAGTTTCAAATTCTATTTACAGAGGGCCTCTTGCAAAATGCAAAGGTGATTTAGAAATGGAAATCTCGTATCTATGAGTAGAAACTAATCAACTTGATTTGAAGAAAGCATCTGTCAACTATTCCCATTTCCAAGACCTTCAAAAAAGAAACTCAAACATTCATCCAGGAACAGAAAAATTATAATATCACTGGCAATCCTCTTCTCAGGGGCAAATTAGTACCTCTAAATTACAATGTCAACCATTTAAAAAGTGAGTAATCTATGTTACATATGATTAGACAGGTGGATACTGAATTACTCATATCACAATCTACTGTTTATAAGTTTTAAACTTAAAGGGTGCCTCTGGCACATATTCACTCTGTATAGCTGCTCCCATTGCTCTTTAGCCATCCCATAAGTTTAGGACCCTATTCATTATTAATTCAGTACTCTAGAAAGCTAATATTCCCTTTCTACCAGAAATTTCAGAAAAGGTAAGAAATACAACTATGCAAGATGACAGAGTTACTGTGGTAAACCAGCAATAAAGACCTCTCTTGTTCCCCATTTCCAATCAGTTGCCAAATCTTGTCAATTTTACTAACTCCACAACAGCCCTTCACATCTGTCCCGTTCCACTCAAATGAATCAGCTCTCATCACCTCTTACCTGAACTACAATAGCCCAACTGGTTTCCATGATTCCAGTCTCTCCCTCTTCCAATTCATCTTCTATATCATCAAAATTAATATTCCTAAAACATAAGTCTGATTACATCAACCTCCTCCTCAAAAATCTTCAGTTGGTTCCCTAATGCCTCCAGGATCAAATAGAAACTTCTCAGCCCTGGCATTTTTGAAGCTCTTCACAACCTGGTTCCAGCCTTACCTTTTTAGACTCATTTTTACCCTACTCATCTTCAGGATTCTTACTTTCAGCCAAACTAGCCTATTTGCTATTTTCTGACCTCAGCATTCCAATTCCAGCTTTCAAGCAGGGAAACCCTCCTTCCCCAATTCACCACCTCACCCCTGCCTCAGGAAATCCTATCATCCTGTTTCAGCTCGGGTACTTCCTAGACTGATCTACCCTTTTGCCACAGAACTCTCCCCCCTCAAATTATCAACATACATTTACTCATCTGTATACATATTGCTGTATCCAGTAGAAATTAAACTTCCTGAGGGTAGGGCCACTTTTTTTTCCATTTTTTTCTTTAAATGTCCAAGGCCTAGCCTTAGCTTTGCAACACCAAGGACTCAGCAAACACTAGCTCAACTGAAGAGATGAGCTTGCTACAAAGAGTAAACTGATAAATAGTGCTCCCTAAGCCCGAGCCCTTTTACTCTATTGAAAAGCAAAGGGAGGTCCCCTACCAAGCACAGCGAAAGAAATACTAACAGTTCGCAGCACTGAAAAGAATTGGGTGTTGGTTTTTGTTGCTGTCTTTTTTTTAATCAGGTGTATACAGGCTCCCCACCCTAAGCTTCCCACAGGCATTCATCTTCCCCTTACCCCACCCCACCCACCCCCAAGGAACATTAAGCTCAGTCCAGTCCACGCCCGCAGTTCCATCAACCCCCAAGACCTACCCCAAATGCACCCTAGCCTCCCCATCCCCCACCTAGCCAGGCAGTGCGGACAAGGATTGGCCGGGACTGCCGGGAGCAGGGACGAAAGTCTCTTCGCCCCAGGCGCCGCCTCATCCCCGCCTCCAGGCACGGTGCGAAGCCCCCAGCGCCCTCCCCTCCCCCCAACGCACCCACCTACTTCCCTTCCGTAACCCCCAGCGCCCCTTGAGACTCTCTCTCTCTCTTCCTTCCTCTACAACCTCGGGAGGAGACAAAGGGATCAGGCTATATCTACACAGCGCAGCCCGCTCCGCCGCCGTCTCCTCCTCCTCCTCCTCCCCGCCATATTACGGGTCTCAAGGCGGCAACGCCGGCACCTGGCAACCGCTGTTGCCGCCGCCGCCACCGCCCTCACTCCGCCTCCCAGGCAGGGCACTTCCGGTATCGCACTACCGGAGTAGAAGAGTTCTGCCTCCGCTCTGGGGCTACCCAACTAGAAACTACAACTCCCGAAGGGCTACGCGTGTCGCCTGTCTGGTCTCCAGGATTGGATGAGCAGCGTTGCATCCTGGGATGTGTGGTTCTCACAAGAGGCAAGCTCTTCCCCTACCCCGCAAGAAAAAGGAGGTTGGCAGAAACGGGAAAACTCTATTCTTAAGTAAGTCATCTGTTATTCAAGTCAAAGCTGGAAGGAACCTTACAGTGCTTTCTATCAAATTAATCTGTCCACGCATCATTGGGGCTTTAAAAACATCGACATAGCCATGAATGCTGATCCAAGTTGCCCAGATGTACGAACCATTCCCTGCTTTCCAGAGAAGCCCCAAGTGTTTAAGTAATTTGCCCAAGGTAACATAGCTATAAGTGACAAGCAGAACGCAGTTATTTTACTAGTAATGAGGAGACGGCTTCAGAGAGTTCAATTTCATCAAGGTTATACGCCGAATGAATGAATGGAAGAGCCAGAACTAGAACCAAGTTCTGTTCCATGAACAAATGAATTGATGTAACAAATGGCATTTTAAAACAAGTTCTCTTATACTATCAGATCTCTCCTAAGGAAATTACTTTATATTCACCAGGGTCATTTCTCTGTAAACAAACTGGTTTATGGATAATATTTCAGGCCTTAGAACATCCTTAGGCTTTCAGGATGGAAGAGGATTTTATTAAAAAGTGGAAACAATAAGCACAGAAAGAAGGCAAAGCAGTCCTTGAATCCAGATCTCTTAACTCTTTTGTGTTGCCCTGCTTCCGAAGAACCTGTCTTCCAAAACTTTTCCACTTGCTTCATTCCCATATGAAGTTCAAGTGCCTTATGGTATGTGTGATTGCATAATGTCCACTTCTTTAATCAGATCATTTATAGAGAGTACTTTAATGTTTGCAAAATGTTTTACAAATGTAATTTCATTTGATCCTCACAACATCTCTGAGAGGTAGGTGCTTTTATTATCATCACTTTTTTGCAGATGAAGAAACTGACGCAGGGGCTAAGTAACTTACACACATCAGTTATTTTAGTTTTTGAGGCCGCATTTGAGGTCCTGGGCCAGCGCCTTAGCCACTGCGCCACCTAGTGGCCCTCCTGCAGAACGTGGATGAATGTAGCAAAGGTTAAATAAAGACAGCAATGGTCCGTAGACTCAGATGGAAGTTCCTCTAGAACTCGAGCCTCCAAACTAGGTCCTGTTGCTATAGCAGTGGCCCCGCCTTGAATGCCCCGGAGTTCCGAGGTGCTGATTGGTCGGCGGGGAGGCTATCTTTCCGGATGTTCCCGGGCCGGCCATTGTGCGCGCCGGTTCCCTCTGCGGGTGACGGCTCTGATCGTCCGGCTCTCCCGCGCCTTTCCCTCTTCTCTGAGACCGGCGGACCCGGGACTCTGTCCCAGAGGCTGCAGGTGCCGGCGCCGGCGCCGGCCCCGACCCCCACATGTGGTTGTGGGAGGAGCAGGGGGGCCTGTTGGCCTCCTTCTCCTTCCTGTTCGTTCTGCTGTTGATCCTGACCCGCAGCCCCTTCAACTCGTGCCTCTTCACCTTCAGCTTCTACCTGCTGCTGCGCTTCTTAAGCTTCGAGCCGGTGCCCAGCCGCCGGGCCCTGCAGGTGCTCAGGCCCCGCGGCCGCATCTCTGCCATCGCCCACCGCGCTGGCGGCCACGATGCCCCTGAGAACACGCTGGCCGCGATTCGGGAGGTAGGGAAGGGGGAGCCCCTCCCCCTCTCGGGGTACTCCTCTCCCCCACCCCCAGGGTTTCCTCTCGCACCTTTCCAGCCCCGAAGAAATGGGGTCTCTCAGTACCCCCTTGTTGAACGCGTGAACCTCTCAGCCTCAGTTTCTTCCTCTGTAAAATGGGAGGTAGGAATGTGTGTGATAGATAGCCCCAATATACGGTCAAATATATTTATGTATGAGAAACGCTTTGCAAATTTTACTGTGCTATTCAATATGCATTATTATTATTTATTATTAAAGGCAGTTAGGTAGCTCAGTGGATGAGAGCTGGACCTAAAAGACCAGAATTCAGAATTCAGATGTGGCCTCGGTCACTTAGTAATTGCATGACTACAGTATGCAAATCACTCAACCTCGGTTTTCCCATATGTAAAATGAATACGAACGCCCCACCTGTGAGGATCAAGTATGATCATATATAAGGACAAAGAGTTTGCAAATCTTGCAGTGCTATATCAATGTGCATTATTATTATTCATTATTAAAGGCAGCTAGGTGGCTCAGTCTATTAAGAGTCAAGAACACCAGAGTTCAGAGATCCACTCAATCTCATTTTTCCCGATTTGCAAAGTTGGAAGAAGTAGGGCAAGAACCTCTGTTCCTCAGTGTAGCTGTGAGCATCAAGCATAATGCTTGCATCAAGCATAATGATTTGCACTTTGCAAATCCTACAGTGCTATATAAATGTGAATTACTATTATTAAATCATTAAAGGCAGCCGGGTGGCTCAATGAATGAGCTTGCTGGACCTGGAATCTGGAAGATCAGAGTTCAAATGAGGCCTCAATTACTTTCTAATTGCATAACTGGGGTAAATCTCTTAACCTCTGGCTACCTCAGTTTTCCCATTTGTAAAATGGGGAGGTGGTGGTGGTGGTGGTGATGGTGATAGCCCCTGTTCCACAAGGTAGCTGTGAGCATCAAATATAATTATGTATACGTAGCATTTAAGGCAGCTAAGTTGCTGCTGGAAGTGCAGGAAGACTCATCTTTCAGAGTTGAAATCTGGCCTCAGGTACTTACCTCTGTGACCTTGGTCAAATCACTTAATCCTGTTTGCCTTATTTTCCTCATCTGTAAAATGTATGGGAGAAGGAAATTGCCAACCACTCCAGTGTCTTTGCCTAGAAAACCCCAAATGGGATCACAAAGAGTCATACAAGACGAAAACAGTATAGTGCTATATAAATGTGGGCTATTATTTTTTAAAATTTATTTATTTTTAGTTTTCAACAATCACTTCCATAAGCTTTTGAGTTTTAAATTTTCTCCCTCTCCTTCCCCAACTCCCTCCCCAGGATGGCACGCAATCTGATACAGGGTATACATATACATTCCTATTAAATATATTTTCATATTAGTCATGTTATAAAGGAGAATTAGAACCAATAGGGGGAACCATAAGAAAGAAGAAACAAAACAAAACAGAAGGGGAAAAAAGAGCAAATACTATGCTTTGATCTGCATTCAGACTCCATAGTTCTTTCTCTGGTTGTGGATAGCATTTTCTATCATGAGACTTTTGGAAATATCTTAGATCTTTGCATTGCTGAGAAGAGCTACGTGTATCAAAGTAAGTCATCATACAACATGGGTGTTACTGTGTACAATGTTCTAGTTCTGTTCACTTCACTCAGCATCAGTTCATTCAAGTCTTTCCAGGTTTTTCTGAAGTCTGCCTGCTCATCATTTCTTATAGCATAGTAGTATTCCATTACATTCATATACCACAACTTGTTCAGCCATTACCCAACTGATGGGCATCCCCTCAATTTCCAGTTCTTGGCCACCACAAAAAGAGTTACTATAAATATTTTTATACATGTGGGTCCTTTTCCCATTTGTATGATCTGTGGGATATAAACCTAGAAGTGCTATTTCTGGGTAAAAGGTTATGCACATTTTTATAGCCCTTTGGACATAGTTCCAAATTGCTCTCCAAAATGGTGGGATCAGTTCACAGCTCCACCAATAATGCATTAGTGTTCCAATTTTTCCACTTCTCCAACATTTATCATTTTCCTGTTTTGTCATCTTAGCCAATCTGATAGGTGTGATGTGGTACTATAGAGTTGTAAAAATTCTGTAAAAATTCTTTCCCAGTTTTCTACTTCCCTCCTAATCTTGGTTGCATTGGCTATGTTTGTGCAAAAACTTTTCAATTTAATGTAGTCAAAATTACCTATTTTGCATTTCATAATGGTCTCTACCTCTTGTTTGGTCATAAATTCTGTTCTCCATAAATCTGACAGGTAAATGATTCCTTGCTCTCCCAGTTTGCTTATAGTATCAGCCTTTATATTTAAATTCTTTACACATTTTGACATTATTTTAGTATATGGTGTAAGATTTTGGTCTATGCCTAGTTTCTGCCATACTGTTTTCCAGTTTTCCCAGCAGTTTTTGTCAAATAGTGAGTTCTTATCCCAGAAGCTAGGGTCTCTGGGTTTATCAAATAGTAGATTACTATAGTCATTGACTGCTGTGTCTTGTATACATAACCTCTTCCACTGATCCACCACTCTATTTCTTAGCCAGTAATGTGGGCTATTATTAATGACCTATTTCCATCCTTGGGCAAATAATCACTTAAACATTCCAAGCCTCTGTTGTTTAATATAGGCAGCTGGGCTAGATCGGGGGTAGGGTCCCTGTGGCCTTGAGGCCACATGTGACTCTATCGGTCCTCAAATGTAGCCCTTTGACTGAATCCAAACTTCACAGAGCAAATCCCCTAAAAGGATTTCTTCTGTAAAACTTGGACTCAGTCAAAAGGCTGCACCCAAGGACCTAGAAGGCTACACGTGGTTTTGAGGCATCAGGTTCCCCACCCCTGGCCTAGAAGATAGTTGACCTTTATATAGCTCTTCAAATTTTGTCTCATTTTATCCTCAAAACAACCCTGTGAAGGAGCTGTTATTATCCTGATTTTACTGTTGAGGGAACTGAGATAGATAAAGATTAGTTGACTTTCCCAGGATCACACAGCTAGTAAGGTGTGTGGCAGGATTTGAACTCAGGTCTCTCTGAGTCTAGGTCCACCTGTTCTACTACCTGGCTACTTCTCTCCTATCCAGTTTTCTGTTATTTTCATCTTTCTGTCTTCTTTCATGCCATGAGGTACATCAGTGATTTCAAGGGCTTCACTATGAGCCCAGTAAAAGTAAGTTTGAAGTTAGGAGACTAAGAAGAGCAGAAACTAAAAGGTGAAAGGAATACTTGAGTTAGTAGATATTAGTGGTCATCAGCCAGGTTGGAACTCTTCACATTCTCCCTCCTCCTTCCCCCTTTGCTTATATGCCAGAGATCTGAAGGGAGGTTGAGTGTCTTCTTGTCTATAACTTCTCGTAGTCTTTATATGACTTCTTTATACATCTGATGAAAGACAACATTTTCCATCACAAACTATAATGATCTTAAAAACATCAAAGAAAGTAATGGAAAGAAAAATTATAGGACTTAATTTTCCTTAGGATAAATGCAATCAACAAGTTTCATCTTCCAAATATTTAACATAAACTCTCTAAAAGTATAGGTAACAATGCTAGATACAGAGTAGATATTTAGTATACATTTGTTGATTGATTTTTGTAGTTCAGATGTATGTGTGTATAATTGAAGCAGTAGTATATTTGAGGACTTTTCTAACAAAGAAAATTGTTTTATGTACATGATAATCCATGTTTAAGAAAAGCCCAATATTTGCTCTTCCTTAGATATTTTTTATTGTATTAATTTAATTTATTTAGTTTTAGTTTTCATCATTCACTTCCACAAGATTTTGAGTTCAAAATTTTCTCCTTATCTCGCCCCTACCCCCACTCTAAGATGGCGTGCATTCTGAATACCCTTTCCCCTAATCTGTCCTCCCTTCTGTCACCCCCCCCTTCCCTTATCTCTTTCCCCTTCTATTAGATTTCTGTACCCCATTGCCTGTATATCTTATTTCCCCAGTTGGAAGTAAAAACAATTTTTAACATTTGTTTTCAAAACTTTGGGTTCCAAATTCTCTCCCTTCCTCCCTCACCACCCACCCTCATTGAGAAGGCAAGCAACTTGATACAGGCTATACATGTGTAGTCATGTAAAACACTTCCATAGTAGTCATGTTGTAAAAAACTAACTATATTTCCCTTCATCCTATCCCATCTCCTGTTTATTCTATTCTCTCTTTTGACCTTGTTCCTCCTCAAAAAGTGTTTGCTTCTGATTACCCACACCCCAATCTGCCCTGCCTTCTGTCATCTCCCCAATCTCTTATTCCCTTACCCCATATTTTCCTGTAGGGTAAGATAGATTTCCATACCCAAGTTAGTGTATGTTATTCCCTCCATAAGCCAAATTTAATGAGAACAAGATTCACTCGTTCCCTCTCACCTTCCCCCACTTCCCCTCCACTATAAAAGCTTTTTCTTGTCTGTTTTATGTGAGATAATTTACCCCATTCTACCTCTCCCTTTCTCCTTCTGCCAAGTATAATCCTCTCACCCCTTAATTTTATTTTTAGATATCACCCATTCATCTTCAACTCACCCTGTGCCCTCTATCTATCTATCTATACATATATTTTCCCTCCTGTACCCTAATACTGACAAAGGTCTCATGAGTTACAAATATCATCTTTCCATGTTGAAATGTAAATAGTTCAACTTTAATAAGTCTCTTATGATTTCTCTTTCCTGTTTACCTTTTCATGCTTCTCTTGAGTCTTGTATTTGAAAGTCAGATTTTCTATTCAGCTCTAATCTTTTCATCAAGAATGCTTGAAAATCCTCTATTTCACTGAATGTTCATTTTTTTCTTCTGAAGGATTATACTCAGTTTTGCTGGGTAGGTGATTCTTGGTTTTAATCCTAGCTTCTTTGACCTCTGGAATATTATGTTCCAAGCCCTCCAGTCCCTTAATGTAGAAGCTGCTAAATCTTGTGTTATCCTGATTGTTTCCACAATACTTGAATTGG